CTGCTCCCCGGCACCCTGCTCCCCGGCACCCTGTTCCCCGGCACCCTGCTCTATGGGAACTGCTCTGAGGCCTCGGCAGAGGGGGGAGGAGCACCAGGAGGCGCTGGCCACCAGGAACAAGGAAAGGACACCAGAAATTCACGGGAAGTGGATTCTCCGTGTTCTTGTTTGCACAGCTCATTCGGAATCTTTGCTACAACTCGGAACGGGAGGATCAGAGCATTACTGTCTGTTTTACAGGCGAGGAAACCAAGACAGCGAGCATTGGCCAAGTTCAAACGCAGGGCGTCTCTGAAGCGTACGCTGTCCTAGCGACACCAGCATTGGACCCCTGCGCCCTGACCTGGCGCCCACAGGTGTCTCATGACTTTCTGGAGTGTTTCATCTCTTACGTTACCTACAGTGACACCGACTCCAGGGCGTGCAGTTCCGAGCTTTCGCACACGTGGCTCCTGAAACATTCTCGCCGCAGTAGCACAGAGAAGTAGGCACCAAACACGACAAACAGCTCATGAAGAGAGCAGGGCTGGGAGAGTCCGTCTCTCCAGGTTAGAGACGTTTTTTAATAAAATGATGGGCCTCAAGCAGGGCCCGGAAGAGAGCAGACAACTGACGGGCAGCTCGCTCAAGGGCCAGCAGGACGAGGCTCCTGGACTCCTGAGGAACTAACTAGTCAACCATCTCAGGACCAGGGAGAGCGCCACGATGGCCCTTAAAGCCAGCGCTGGAGCCCCGTCTGGAGCCCCGTCCCTGATGTGGGTGAGTGGGGAGGGCTTAGGGGCTTTCACTGAAGCCTTAGAGCAACACTCCAAACACTGGGCAGAAAATAAGAACATGGTGCCCGGCAAGGGTGGCTCAGTGGTTGGTGTCGGCTATGAACCAGGAGGTCATGGTTCTATTCTGGTCAAAGGACAGGCCTGGGTTGCAGGCTCCATCCCCAGTCGGGGGTGTGCAGGAGGCAGCCAATCGATGTTTCTATCTCCCTCTCCCTCTCCCTTCCTCTTTCTCTAAAAATAAAAAATCATATATTTTAAAGAAGAAAATAAGAACAAGGTGGCTGAGGCGGGACACAGCAAAGAAGGCAGGACGGCAAGGGGGCGGGGAGGAGCGGGCCACCTGGGTGCGAGCGTGCAGAACTACGCAGAACGACGGGATGACACCGACCCCAACTAGCAGAGACGGCCCACAGGTGCCGCTCAGCGGGAGCGAAGGTGCACCAGCCGCCGGGTCTCGGAGGAGGAGAGCAGGCCTGGCACGTGGGGGGAGGGCGGGCTCGCACCTCCAGGTGAGGTGGTTACAGGAGCCACGTGTGCGAAAGCTCAGGGAACTGCATGCCCTGGAGTCAGTGTCACTGTACGGTGACTTAAGGGATAAAACACTCCAGAAAGTCATGAGACCACCTGTGGGCACCAGGTCAGGGTGCAGGACAGCAAGCTGGCGGGGCTCAGGCCAGCAGAACGGTCCCGCAGGCCTTCGAGAAGCGTCCCCAGAGACCAGGCCGGGAAGGAGCAGGGAGCAGGACCCCTCTGGGCCAGTGCTCACCCGACCTCCAGTGGCGGCCAACAGTGCTCCTTGCCTTGCACTCGGCCCATTTCCACTCCTGTGGGAGTAATGGGGGGGCGGGGTG